CTCTCTCTCTCTCTCTCTCTCTCTCTCTCTCTCTCTCTCTCTCTCTCTCTCTCTTTTTATAGTTTTAAAAGCTAAAAAAGGGCCGGCCCGGTGGCGCGCTGCTACAGTGTGCCGCTTGGGAAGCGCGGCGGCACTCCCGCCGAGGGTTCGGATCCCACATACAGACCGGCCGCTCACTGGCTGAGCTAGGAGCAGGGGCAACACCGAGGGTTGCGATCCCGTTGCCGGTCCCGGTCCGGTACGGGCGCGACACTGAGGGTTGCGATCTGTTGCCGGTCACGAAAAAAGACAAAAAAAAAAAAGCTAAAAAAATAAAGCAAGCAGAATAAAGGAAATAATAAATATCAAAGCAATCAATGAAATAGAAAACAGAAAATCAATGAAATCGATAGTAAAAAAAAAAAAAAAAATCAAGGAAACCAAAAAAGCAAGTTTTTTGAGATCAATAAAAGTCATAACCTCTAACCAGACTGAAACAGAGACAGAGAACCAAATTATCAGTATCAGGAATAATATTCTACAGATATTAAAAGGATAACAAGTGCGTATTATGAACAACTTTTTTTAAATTTTAACTTCTCAATATACATTGTACTTGATTTTCGTGACCCTTTACCCATTCCTCTTACCCCCTTCTCTCCCCCCTATTATATCATATCTGCTATGTACAACTTTAAAATCAATAAATTCAACAACTTTATTAAAAGATACAAATTACCAAAGTTTACTCAAGAAGATATACATGAATGGATCTATATCTATTAAAGAAATAGAAACTGTAGTCAAAAACCTTCTCAAAGAGAAAACTCAAGGCCCAGATAACTTCACTGGTAAATTCAATTAAACATTTATGGAAGAATTAATACCAACTCTGCATAAAAAATTGAAGAGGAGAGACTACTTCCCAATTTATTCTGTAAGTCCATACAGAAGCCAGACAAAAACATTAAAAAGAAAAAGAAAATTACAAACCAATAATTCTCACCATCAATGCAAAAACTTCTTCACAAAATTTTAACACATGGAATCCAACAATGTATAAAAAAGATAACACATCATGATCAAGTAAGGTTTATTCCAGGAATGAAAGGCTCACTTAATATTCAAAAAACAATCAATATAATTCACCATTTTAACAAGCAAGTGAGCGAGAGAGAGAGAGTGAGTCAGAGAGAGAAAGCCAGCCACACAATAATCTCAATAGAGAAAAAACATTTGACAAAATCCAACACTAATTCATCAAAAAAAGCTCTCAGCAAATAAGAATAGAAGGGAACTTCCTCAACCAGATAAAAGGCATCTATAAAAATCCTACAGCTAACATCACACTTTATGGTGAAAGAATGAATGAATGCTTTCTCTTGAAGATTAGGAATAGGACAAGAAGGTCGACTCTCACCAATTCTATTTAGCACTGTCTTGGAGGTGTTAGCCAGTACAATTTTCAAAATCTGAGGTTTGATTTTACCCTACTTATACGCCAATAACTAACTTAGCCTATTGCTGTTTCATGGATGCTGGCAGAAGACAATGGATTCCTGGGTCAGAAAAAGAAAGGATTTTATTATTCATGGCACAACAAAGGGCATGAGCACCACTTATGCACAGATTCCCCTGGTCCCCAAAGTCTCACAGGTTGATGTGGATGTTTTCAGCAGATACCTGCATACACAATGGGTTGCTTACAGGAAAGGAACCCTTGGGCTTGGGGAATCTACTGTTTTCATAGTAAGCAGTAAACAACCCCGCTCTTTGCTCAAAAAGGAAACACTCCATCATCCCACAAGGTTGCTCAGTGCCAACATAACCCTGAAAAAATAGCCTGGGTAAAGAGCATTCATGGCACTGAATGTTTGGTATACCTATCAAGACATGTAGGAGCAGGAAGAACTCAGGGAGGAGTATCTCCCAATAGCAATAAGGCAAGAAAAAGAAATGAAAGGCATCCATGTTGAAAATAAAAAGCACCCATATTCACAAATGACACCATCTCTGTAGAAAATGATGGAATCCATAACTACTACTAGACTACTAGAACTAATAGGTGAGTATAACAAGGTGGAAGGATAAAAGATCAATATGCAAAAATCAATTATATTTCTAATACCAGCAAGAAACAATTGGGAACTGAAATTTAAAAACAAATATCAACAGCAAAAAATATAAAATACTTAGGAATAAATCTGACAAAAGATGTATAAGGCCTATACACTGAGAGCTACAACAAAATACTGAGAGAAATTAAAGAAGTCCTAAATAAGTGAAGAAATACACCGTTTTCTTGGGTCAGAAGACTCCATGTTAATAAGATGTCAATTCTCCCCAAATTGATCTATAGATTCAATGTAATTTCAATCAAAATCCTTTTTGCAGAAATTGAGGTGAAAATAAAATTCATATGGAATTGCAAAGTACCTAGAATCACTAAACAATTTTGAGAAAGAACAAAGTGGGACAACTAACACTATCTAATTTCAAGTTTTACTGTAAAGCTACAGTAATCAAGACAATATAGCAGTAGCATAAATATAGACAAGCAGACCAAAGGGACAGGATTCAGAGTCCAGAAATAGACACACACTTACACGGACGATTGATTTCCAACAAAAGAGAAGATGAGTTCAGTGAGGAAACAATAATGTTTCAAATAAATGGTACTGGAACAAGTGGACATACTATATACACATACACAAAAAAAAAAAAAAAAAATTTGACTCATACATTGCTTTATATACAAAAATCACCTCAAAATAGATCATAGACCATATGTGTAACCTAGACGAAGGTATAAAACGTCTAGAATATATAGAACATTCTGTGACCTTGGGCTAAAGAAAGATTAATTCAATACAGCATCATAAAAGAAAATATTGATAAACTGGGCTTCAAAATGCAAAACTTCTGCTCTTTGAAAGACACTATCAAGAGAATGAAAAGAGAAGCCACAGACTGAGAGAGAATATATATATACCACATATCTGATGAAGAATTTGTATCCAGAATACATTTTTTAAAAATTCTCAAAACTCAATAAGAAAACAACCCAATTTTTAAATGGCAAAAGATTTGAACAGACATTCAAAGAATACATAAGAATACATGACAGTGAATAAACAGATAAAAAGATGCTCAAAATATATTGTTATCGGAAAGACGCAAATTAAAACCACAATGAAATCGCACTATATACCTATCAGAATGGATAAAATAAAAAAGACTCACCATATCAGTTTTGGGGAGGAGGTGGAAGACCTAGAACTCTAATATGCTGCTGGTGGCAATGTCAAGTGGTACAACCACTTTGGAAAACAGTTTAGCAGTTTCTCAAAAAAGTTAAACATACACCTACCATATGATTCAGCTGTTCCACTCCTAGGTATTTACCCATGGGAAAGAAAGCATACGTCCAATCAAAGACTTGTACACAAATATTCACAGCAGCTTTATCTGTCATAGCCCAAACTAGAAACAATCCAAATGTCTATCACCAGGTGAATGGATAAACAAATTGTGACACAGCCATACAATGAAACACAACTCAGCAATAAAAAAGAAAGAACTACTGAGTCATGCAAAAAAATAAATCTCAGAATAATTATACTGACTGAAAGAAGACAGACAGGGAAGTGTAAACACTGCATGTTTCCATTCATATAAAATCTTAGAAAATGCAAACTACTCTATAGCAACAGAAAGCAGATGCCTGAGGTTGACTGCAGATGGGGAGGAGGCAGGAGAGAGTGTTTACTAAGGTGTATGAGGAAACTTCAGGGAGATGAATATGTTCGGTATCTTGACTGTGGTGATGGTTTCACAGGTTACAAATGTCAAAACTTATCAAATTGTACACTTTACTGCAGTTACTTATAGCCCCATAAAGCTGAGTATTTTAAAAATCTGTATTTTATTAAGACCAAAAATTCATTTATCACCATATTCCCAGAAAGATCATATATAGTACTATGTAGCTATGAAATTTTAGTGTTCAAACCTGTTGTACAAACTCTCTGAGGAAAGTACTTTTAGGTTTACATCACCAGCTAACATAAAAACTAATTATTTTTAAAATGTGTTTTCCCTCTCAGAACAAATTCCCAACCCTTGCCCACACAGCCACTGTTAAGTCTCTTATTCTGAAGATTCCATTTTCCCTAACCTTGTTTTTCTATATTGATTTAAGAAACTTTCAATATTGAAACCAAAATAGAAAACGTTTCACGGTTTCAGGAACTCACAAAAGACCCCGACCTCATAGTGATAGGTTTCTGTTATTCACTCTCACCTGAGAAGGCTTGCTGCAGACGACGCCATGAATCTCCAAGTAGCTGAAGGTTAACTCGAGCTGCAGTTGGGAGGGAAGAGGGAAATAAAGACCTGTAATGAGGATTTTAAAACATATAATTCAAGGTAGGAAAAAAAAAAAAAAGATGCTGTAATTAGAAACAGCCCCAAGAGCAAATAAGATATTGGGCATCTTCTGAAGGCAGGCTGTTGTAATGTGTCCTTTCATTCAAAAAGATGGGACTGTAACTTATCATATTTCAGCAAAATTATCTATCCTTCATTTTACTAAAAGGTTGAAAAAAAGTTGTATGCCCAACAAACCAGGGACAAAACCAATGCAAAGTTTTGCTATTTCTACTCTATTTATTCATTGAGAAATGAATGTATAAAATAAAAACATCTCAATATACTTTTTCCTCTTTTTAACTTCAAAGTTTTGCTTCCATAAGTCACAAGAGGACAAAGTCAATGTTGTTTTCCCCTTCCTTCTAAAATCTTACCTCTCTGTGTTACACTCTGACCACTTACTGGAGTCATCCTTCCATAAAAATTCCTATTTTGAATAGATTTAGACAAATACGGTATTTAGAAATTTAGAACTGTCCTTAAATGAAACACACATCGTTAAATAAAATTCCTCTTTTTCTCTCTACGTGTAGAAAAATAATGATTTATTCCCCTTTTATTTTAATAATAAATGACCCTTTTCTCTTCTCCTGTAAGCAGTGTTCTTTTTCTTCAAAATATCTCCCACCTCTCACTCTTTGACTATTTTTCCTGGTCAACAGCCACTACTCTTTCTCGCAATTTTGCAGCCTTTCACCCTCCTACAGCAGTCACAGTCACAAAGCATGGGATGAGAGACAATGGGACTATGAGTTCGATCAGTTTATTTTACCCTCTCACATTAAAACTAAAAATATAATGATAAAAGAACACACCCAGCACCAAACCCAGGGGACTCAGTTCTGCTCCTTGGTGGTAAGTAGTACCATGATACTTTGGCAGGATAAATCTCAGAGCAGAAAACCTCTGAAACTCTAGTTAAACATCTCAAAGTGTGGTGATGAGGACGGGAGGTAGAAAGAGAATTCATTCTTTCATTATTCACTTAGTCAACTAATGGACATTTATGGAAAGCCTATACTATGTGCCAGCACTAGAAATAGAAAGAGAAATGAGATATGTATTTTGTCCTCCAAGAGTTAAAAATACAGTATTGAAGGCATATGTTTAAAAACTTTCAATTAGAATAGACATTTTCTTACCTATCATTATCAAGATCTATACATGGTTTGATTTTGTAAAGTAATTTAAAGCAAGGAATATGCATACCTACCTTCATTATTGTAATTTAAAACTTATAAACATATTTTTATTCGTCACCCTTTGACAAAATGCCAAAGCTTTTCTTTGAGTTAAGCCAATGGGCTGGCCCCCCAGTGGCCTTTCTCTATGAGCCACACCCACGGTGGAGGGAGGGCTTCCACCTTCCAATTCAAGTCTCTTTAAAAATGGAGTGAAATCTTAAAGACAATTGCAAAGCAATCTAAGGGTAGAAGTTTTATAGATTATTATGTTCCTCACACCCCCTCTCCAAACTTTAACATTTATCTGGTCCTTAAGACAGCAATTTTTTAAAAGTAATTTGGTTTATCAACATTCAATATTTCATAGACACTCTCTCCTTTTGCACTCATATTTCATCATTATGTGAAACACCTTTCATTAACAACATTTGCTATTGTAATTATAACTACTATAAATAGAATTGGGAATGAACCACTAAGCCTCAGGGGGCATCTCGTTCAATAGATGTGAGCAAGTATGAACAGGTGTTAGCAGGTACACTTTCAAAGCTTAACAGCTATGAAATGAAGCTGGCATCAATGGGCATCATCAGGAATAGGAATAGGCATCTTAGGTCAATTTGGCTCAGTGAGCCACCACAGGAAGCACCTAGTGCTCTCCCAAGCCAGGGCAGTAGGAGGCCTCGGGCCTTGTTCACACTCCCCCAACACAAGCAACCAGCCCAGCAATGACCAAAGAGCCACCACAGGAAGTGCCCTGGGTTCTCCTGAGCTGGGGCGGTGGGGCTCTCAGGCCTCGGTCACACACACTCCCCCCAAAACGAGCAACCAGGCCCAGCAGCAACCACCAAGCCACAGCAAGAAGGGCCCCAGATTCCTGAGCTGAGGAGGTGAGAGGCAAGGGCTTTTGCCGCACACCCCTGACACCTGCACCCAGCTTGGCAATGACCAAGCCACCACTGGAAGCCCTCCAGTCTCCCTTGTGGAACTGAGGGGGGTGCCACAGGCCTCAATCCCACCCCTCCTCCTCCTTCCTTCTTCCATCACATTTCCTTCCCCTTTCCCCTCTCCGCATCCCTCCCAACTTCTCTGCAACATCATAGAATGTAAAAAAATAATATAAATTTTTTTTTAAAAATTGGCTCAGTGAGATTAGTTGGAGGTTAATTAAGATGCTTTTACTGCACCGTAAGGCTGTCACTGTGATAGTGAAGTACTGAGGAGCAAGGGAAGAGTGGTGACATTTCAGCTAGTCCCTGAAGAATGACTTCAAGTTTGTCAAGCAAACAAGGGGTAGAAAAGTTGATTCAGGCAGAAGAAAAAGAATTTGCCAAGGCATAGAGACATTAAAAGAACTAGGATAAGGCAGAAATTAAAAGGAGTGGGTTGTACAGTATCAACAATGAGTAACAAGATGAGTGGCTGAGTCTGTGGTTAGTCAGAGTCCCGTATTACTAATAGTGGGCAGGTGAGTCTCTAAGACATATTCAAGGACATCATAGCAAGGTTCAAATAATTCTCTCTAAACTCATCCATGGCTATTTTTGTCAGGCCTTTGCTCCAGTCCCACAATCCATCCTCCCCCAACTCCAGCCCACCCCAAAGACAGTTTAAAGAAGGTCACCAGATTCAATCTATGAGCAGAAGGAGGCAAGAAGACTAGTTAGGAAGCTGAGACAGATGCAGGCAGCATGAAGACCTGGGGACATTTTTAAGTGAGAACTAGAAATATTAGTGACTGATTAGGTAAGAGGAAAGAATTAACCCACACTGCCAACAGCTTTTCCACCAGTCTCTTGCTCACCCCACCCCAGCCCCTAACAAGATAGCACCCATCCCATCAGAGCCAATCTAAATGCGATTCTTTGGCTGTCCTTCAGTAACTCCTGTTATTCCAAGCTTCAACTCCTCAGCCAGGCCTAGATCCTGCCCATCTTTCCAACCTGTTTCCCTCTCACCACAGCCTTCTCCACAATCCTTGGCCCACACTCCAGTTCCCCAAATGCAAGTGCTGTTAACCAGTGTAAGATCCCTTATTTGCCTGGTTGACGTTGGGTGATCTTTCAACCCACCTTCTCTGCAAACCCTTCCCTGATGTGGTAATTACCCACCCACCCCACAAAAGCAGAGTTGGGGCCTCCTGGGGTGATGGCAAAGTTCTATTTCTTCATCTGGGTATGATGGCAGAAGTATTTCCTTTGGGATTAATCACAGATATACATCTTTGTTTTGTCCATTTGACTATATACGTGGTACATCTCACAATAAAAAGACAAAAGGAAAACATGTTAAATTAATCAGCTCCCAAAGAAAAGACACCATGTCATAATCAGTGCCTATTGTACACTAATGCTCTAAATATAATGATTTCCCAAGAAAATTAATATCATTGACTCAGCCAAGACTTACACTTTGCACGTGAAAAACAGCCTTCTTTAAGGAGGAAATCCGCAAGCAGATCACTATGGGAGAAAATCTGCCTTTATTTGTGATGCTAACAATATCAGAAATCAGAACCAATGTCTGAACTACCCTGGTCAGTCTGGCTGTGAAACTTTATATACATATCACACAATGAAGCCAAGGCCTTGCCTCAGGGGCAGAGCTAGAATGGGGCAATACAGGATCATCTAGCAGAAAGAAGGCAGGTGACTTCCCAAGAGGTAATACACTTTCCACTGGGTCACAACATTTTAGTGTACACATATTATTCAGGAGCCTTCTATTCAATAGGGTGCTTGGCTATTTTCACAAGCCCAAAAAATTTCCTTCTGTGATTAACCTTTTACCAGTGGGATAATGTTTAATTCACTTCCTTATATCCTTTTTTAAAAAAATTAATTAATTTATTACAAATATTCATGAGATACAAAGCTGATTGTCCCCGCTCCTGTCCATGATGTAGGGGCCAGATTCATACTGGGGGCATATCCATTACCAGAAATTACTTTTGTACCCTTTGTCCCCTCCCAATTATCCCCCAACCTCCCTCCCCTTCCCCCTCTCCCCTCAACTCCAATTTGTAGCCCTATCACTTCCTTATATCCTGCCTTCAATATTTTAACATACAGTAGTCCCCGTTATCCATGGTTTTGATTTCTGCAATTTCAGTTACTTGAGGTCAACTACAGTCTGAAAATATTAAATGGAGAATTCCAGAAATAAGATTTAAATAACCTTTACTACAGTATAATTGTTCTATTTTATTAGTTGTTGTTAATCTCTTACTGTGCCTAATTTATAAATTAAACTTGATCATAGGTATACAAGAAAAAGGAGATGTAGGGTTCAGTATTATCTGCAGTTTCAGGCATTTTCTGGGGTTCTCAGAACATACCCCTCCAGCCCCTGTAGATAAGAGGGGACCAGTATATAGATAGGTTAGCCCAACTTTATTGAACATTTTATTGAACATTTATTGAATAACTTTATTGAACATTATCATTAACTGATTTTATTTATAACATTATAAAAATACAGACTCACTTCATATTATCAAAAGGGGTTAGAACCAAAAGTCTCATTCCTTGGAGAAACTATAAAAGTTAACATTTGTATAACTAGAAAGAAAAACGGCAGAAGGTACCCCAGTGGGTTGGTATCTTCCCAAAGTTCAGTGAAAATCACGTAAATCATTAGATTGCAAATCCTGGTAGATCCACTTCATTTGTGTCTGTAACATTATGGAGCCCTGTTTGGCACATAAGTAGGTATTCACAAAACACTGGCTAAGTGTTAAATTTTAAGAAACAAGAAAGGACTGGGAAAATGAGCAAATAACACTGTAACCCAAACATCAGAGTATGAAAAGGATAGAAGCTTCCACTAGACCCCTACCCATTTTCCTGAGTATGTGGGCAAGGGAGGTAGTTCAACTCAGTAAAAAGCAGATTAGACTAGGACATGGTGAGTCTAATTCTCCTTCCTCCCATGCACTACTTGTGAATCCTTAGACAAGTCAACTTTGCATCTTTGAGATATTTTCTAATAGCTCACCTACAAGTTTACTGTGAGAATTAAATGAGATTCCCTTACAATATTCTTAACAGATAACTCATTAAATTCTCATAATAATAGTGTCGCTGAGCAGGGGCTTTGCAGCCAGACCCCCTGGATTAGAATCATCTACTAGTGGAAATTTTACCTCAGGCAAATTACTGAAACTCCCTGTACCTCAGTTTTCTCATCTGTAAAATGGGGATAATAATAGGATCTACCTCATGGTTCTCACAGATTCTTTTAAGGATTATTTACTAAAACAGCACTCAAATGTTAGTTATCATTTAAAAAAAAAAAAAGAAAACTCCAATTTCCTTTTATCGTTCAATCCACATCCTACTAAAATGATCAACCCCTTTTTGTTACCATAAACACAAGAAAAGAAATTATGATGCCAAATTTACGAGCTATCAGTTTACATTTTAATTTGCCCCGTGTAATGAAGGACAGGACATCTCATGAAAAAATGTTACAAAGATCTTTCAAAGAACAGAGTGGTGCCATGCTATTTTTATAGGCAACACGAGAGTACACGGGGAACTGCCGAGGTGGTTGTGGTACTGGGTAATGCACTCCAGAGTTATGAAGGTTATTTCCCACATGTCAAAGCCTTAGAAAAATCTGCCATTAGTGGACTGAAGGAAATAAGAAGTAGACTTGAAGAAAGTGAAAATCAAGCCCCAGTTGAGGGAGAAAAATGACCAGGACATGGAGCCTCAGGGACATCGAGCACAAAATGTCTCACTGCTTTCCTTGGGATGCCTTTACACAAAGAGAGGAAATAAAGGAATAAGAAACATCCCTCAGCACAACCCTTAGGTGCTTTCTGGGGAGAAGGAGGGAAAACATGGATGTGCTTAGAGAACTCCTGACACTTTAGCCTAAATCGTAAGTCTATGTAATTGAGGTGTGAGTGTGTGCTGTGTTGAGAGAGAGAGAGAGAGAGAGAGAGAGTGTGTGTGTGTGTGTGTGTGTGTGTGTTGGAAGGAGGAACGTCATCAGCACTCACCTTGGTGGGGATTCGCGCTGACACGAGGAAGGCCCGGCATGATGTCAGCACCTGTAAGATAGAAGTAGCAGCATCAGTATAAGTACCAAAAAAGTGTCTTTTTGTTTTACCCACAGACTTTAGTGTTACCCACAGACTGCAATGATACGGAAGCCTCAAAAAGCCACATGGCTTGGCTTCTGTCACATACAAAGAATAAATGACCTGGGACAGCTTCTTGGTCCTCCAGAATTAGTTTTACTCCAAGAGTCCCTGTATCAAGGTTCATATTGAACAAATCACCCACGAAATCTCAAGATGAGAGTCTGTCAGCAGCCCAAAGGACCAACAGATTATTTCGGTAGAGTAAGCAAGACAGGTCTCTGTGATATTAAAATACGGATATCTTATATATAGTCACAGCACCACGACATCAACAGCAAACTTACTGAAAAAGCCCAGTACTCACTCGCACTTCCCAGATTACAACCACCACCCACGCTGGCCCGCTGGCGTTCCCTTCTCTGCATTCTAGCTGATAACATTTACATGATGCACAGACAGCAAAATCAGAAGAAACTTCCAAACAATTGTCCCCAACTTTGCTTTTCAGCTGTGCCTCTCTCAGTCTTAGAACATTTTTGGAAGTTTTCTGACAGTCAGCTAAGAATATATATATAGCCCATGGGGTCCCACATGCCTATAGGCCCCTCCTGCCCAATAGGGGCCCTCATGACTACAAAGGGGCTAAACTAGGAGTTCCAACCTTGAGCACAGATCCCACATCCACAAGCCTCACTGTCTAAATGTGCCACTCTGCAAGTGAGTTTCAGGCAGGTCTCATGAGCCTTTGCCATAAACAAAGGAGACTCTTAAAGCTTCTCATGTCCTGATGAGAGAACTGCCTTTTTTCATTTTCCAGAGAACTTCCACATCACTAAATCTGTATTTAGTAAATGATGCTAGATTTGAACAAAACCAAGGACGCTGAGACCCCCAAGTTGTTAAAGGACTTATGCAAGGTCACACAGCTTAACCCAGACTCAACTCAGGGCTCACACTGCTAATCAGAGCGCAGGTGAATCCCGGGCGTGCTTCTGCAGCCCGCTTTGTACCTCTCTCTACAGTCTCCCAATCCCAAACAGAAACGGTGTATTTTCTTTAAAACCCTTCTATGAATGAATAATCACAGGTCACCACTGTAGGAGATACCTCACTCAGGACTATTTATGAGACAGATGAGACGGGAAGCCTCACGACACTCTGCTAATGAGCGGATAGGGAAGGCAGAGGGAAGAGGCAGGGCCCATTTCAAGAACTTCCACACAAATATCACAGTCACGGCTATCCACAGGATCAACTTTTACCTGGTATCATTTTTCACCACTTGATCGTAGAGGTGACATGCTCTAAAAGACCATTAATAAATGACATCTGAAAGTATAGGCAAGAGAAGGTGTCTATATTTGAATACTCCATATACTGTGAACCAAATCACAGCTTTTCCCTAAGGAATGATCCTTTCTTTTCACTAAGGCCTTGGGGGCAAGGGATTGGGACAAAGCAATGAGCAGTAGGAAGCAGCGGGAAGCACAGAAAGGACAGGCAAGTGTATGGAGTGCAACCACATGAGTGGATGGACGGCAAGTATAGCCCAGTAGCAGCAGGACTGGCTACATAATTTGCAGGGCCACTGGTCAAAAATTATTAAGAATTTCAAGGTGGTGACAACAAAGCATTAACAAAGCAGGGCACTTCTGAGCATGGTGGCCTATGCAACTGTACAGCTTGCATGCCAAGAAGCTGTCCCTGCGTAGCAGCTACCATTTATTGAGGATTCTCTATGTGCCATGAATGGGCGCACATTTTTGAGTATACTGACACATTTAATCCTCACGACAACTACATTCGGTGTCATTATTACTCCCATTTTACACATGAGCAAATTAAGACCCATTGATGTAACTCACTTTAAGTTCCCACAATTAGGGGAGAAATAGAATTCGCATACAGCCTATGTTCTTAACCACTAGGCTTTGTGTACATGTTACTATCCAATTCTGCCTCCCTGTGCTCTGGCCCCTGGCAGATCATTAAGGCTGGGGTAGGAAGAGAGAGCCCAGGGCAGCACGTGACTGGGGAAGACCACCCAAAGCTCCCAGCTCAAAAGATACCTTCCTTAACATTCCAACAGTTAGTTTTAAAAACTCTCTTTTCAAATCCAAATGTGTCCTGGAGAGTTGAACTCTTCCTCTGTCATCTGCACAAGTCCACCCTTGGCTAACACAGCAGTACTCAGGGAATTAAGGGTTTGGGGAAAGGGCAAGAGAAAATTTTGTTGCATAAGACACACAGTTAGAATGTCAGACAGAAGGAGTATGACTGTAATAAAGAGGAATTTGGAAAGAAAGATCAAAGGGCACCAGAGGCTGACTTGGCCTGCATTGCCACTTGCTTAGGTCTGGGGAGCAGGTTATCAATGACTTACATACAAGATCAGGGCTCATCTTAAAGGCTGAAATATTAGCCTTCTCGGAACAAAACCCATGCTCCACAGGGCCTCTAGTCTTCTACTTCAGTTCAGCCCCAGGATATGACTCCTCTTTCAAATACTACTCCTCCCCCAGGGGAACAAAACAAGAAAGAAAAAACAATGCTGACAGCCACAATTGCAAGCATGGCTGCAGGAAGCCAGACCCTGTTCTCGCCATTTCTCCCTCTGCACTATTTAGAAAGTAGCACACACATTGCTCTCTTCCAGGGGCACCCGTGTGATCAATCCCCGATTGATCTTTCCAAGAATCTTAAGTCCACGAAACCTCTGCATGGAGGTAAAATAATAGTCAAATCATAAAACTCACATGCCAGAACAGTCCCAGTATCCCATGGTCAAAGACCTAAAACCCCCTGAGTTTATCATCCGAGAGCAGGTCCAGGGAAACTCGTCATCTCACAGCAAGTTTGAGGCACAGCTGGAACTAGAAGTTGCAACTCCTCATTCTCAGGCTATTATCTCTTCACTCTGGCCTCAGATTAACAATAAAGGTTCAAGGCCAAAAGTCCCAGATAGGAACTTGTAAGCCTCTTCAATATACATAAAAACATATTCAGATGTACAAACATTCCTTCCAAAGAAAATTGGTCCCACAACATCCAGGATCATTTTTCAAGTGTAGTAGTAATAATAGCCGATACCTGTTGGGTACACTGTTCTAATAGGTTTGCACGCATTATCTTTAATCCTCACAGCACCCTACGAAGGAAACACTAGTATTATCCCTATTGTAAGATGGAGAAACTGACGCACATAGAGGTTATGTAACTTGTGCAGGTAGGTCACCCCGTAAGCAGGTGGCAGAGCTGGGATTCAAACCCAGATGAGCTGGCTCCAGAGATGTGCTCCTAATTATTTATATTGGCTCTCAAATCTCATCTTCCTAAGCACCAGATTCCTCAGTAGTATGCACACATGGAAGCATACACTAGTCAGAACTTTAAAGCCAAAAAGAGGCAAACAGGTAAAAGGATCATCAGTAGGATAAGGGTTACATGGGTATCATAAGAAAAAGGTCCAGTCCCTACCAGTCTGTGTCTGTGTCTCCCCACTCCATACCCCGCCATCTGTCTCTCTCTGATCATCTCTCTCTCTCTCTCTCTCTCTCTCTCTCTCGACGTCTCTCTATGTCTCTGCTGTCCCTGTTTTGAATCTGTTTACATGATTCTACATTTGCATCTCGCAGTCTACCTGTGTCTCTCCTCACTGGCTCCCCATCCTTCCCTCTGATCCCCCACCCCCGCTGTTGCAGCCACTGTCCCCACCATCCCCACCCCATCTTGCTCAGGCTCTCTCTTCCCTCCTCTGGTCCCCTTCCCTCACTTATTCTACCTTCCATTCCCCAGCACTTTCTCTATGGGAATCACTTGAGAGCTTGTAATTGTATTTACACCTTTTGCAAAACAACAGACACCAATCACAGAAGAAATAATTGCATTCTGGAAGAGTATTTCATTTGTAACACAGTCACAGAGAAACTTGAACAAAACATGAACTAAAAATGACGAGACACCTTTTGACATCATTATTTAGTGAGCACACTGGTAATTAAGTGATTACACAGTCCCCCGTGTGAATCTAATTAATAAATCTTAACTAATCTCAAAACATGCACCCAAACAGCTGAAATACAACAGCAATTACTAGCAGGAGACACCAGCTGGCCCTGCCTCCCTTTGACAATTGTTGCGCTTTGGGAAATATCCCACAGTCAACCATGGGATCAGATAACCTACCTGTCTTCTCTTGACCTGCCCTCTCCAGAACAGCCACCACAGGGGATTTCTATGGGCCACTGACAGGGTATTAACTGGGGTCAGTACATTTAAAACAAGAGAGAAAAAAGGAGAAAGAAAAACAAAGAACCAGCATTTTCATATGGATTCACCTCTTGAGTAAATATCAATTTCCTGACCATACATAGATACATGAGGTTGTAATGATCATTTCTGCTTTCACCTGGTTAATAACAGAGCTTACAATCTATGGCCCTGTGTGTCAACTTCCTTCTTTTAAAAATATTTTTAAAGCAATGTAAGCACACAACGTCCTTCAGAAGTTGGACCCAGGCCAAAATAATTTGTTTGAAAAGAGACATCAGTGAGGGAGCCCAGGCTTTGAAGGAAGACAAGCCACAGAAGCTTTGCACTGGCTGTTCCCGGTTTCTGGTAGTCAGCTAGGGTACCCAGAGGTACAGGGAGTTCTTAGAAAATTTGGAAAGAGATGGGGGTGGAATGGCTAAAATCTTCCAAAGTTGACCCAGCCTTTCCTAAGACTGTGCCCCCTCGGCAGCACAACAATGTAGAAATATTTTGAAGCAAGGATGAAAACTACAAATGCTACTGTTCCGAGCCAAAAATGTGCCTCTTGCTCTATCAATGCAAATTGAGCCAATAAATAGAGCTACAATCATACTGGGAATCCCAGTGAACTCAGTCTTCCCAGTCCTGTTTGGCTCCAAAATTGCCCTAGGATTTGTAGCCTCAAAGGATTTACAGTGCCCATGTATGGCTTCTAG